AGTAACTCTGCAGCTGTATCGACTGGTAGCAGCAGTAGGGTGGGGAGAAACAGCAAGGCCCGCGAAGTGCTCCGTGGAAGCCTCGAGCGCAGCCCGGCGCCTCGTCTCCAGGCAGAGTCTGGGACTGCACGGCAGCAGCACTATCAAGAGCAGAAACAGCCACAGAAACTACCCATGAAAGAAGAAGCAGAAGGTCTCCCAGTAATTGCTCCCCGGAAAGTCGAGGAGAGCCGCCGAAGTGCAAGAACAGCCTCTGAATGCCAGAGGGGCAGCGTTGCCTCTCCTCACTGTACTTATCATTCCGTAAGCTCATCTTCAGAGGGAAAAAGCGCTCGATGCCCATCCTCAGTGGCTGCTTCGCAGCGACTGAGTGGAGTGGAGAAGCCCAGGCGGGCCATAGGCAGGTATTCCTCAGTGCCAGCATTTTCCGCTGCAGATCGTCTTCGGATTGACCGGTTCAAGGTAAGGCCAGCAAGACAGACGGATGTTTTTTGCAAGGGTGCTTGCATGTTCGAAGGATGCAACAATCTGGCGGCATGAAGCTGTGTTTCTGCGTGCGCGTGCGCTTTTCTGTCGGGCGAGCGCAGGAAGGTCTGCCGCAGTGCTTGAGCACGCAAGAAGCAATTTTGAAGCAGCAGGGAGCGGCAGAGAAGAAAATCTTGTCAGGACGGTCAGGGGAATTGTCAACTACAGCATTCGACGCGACTCCAGATCTGGGGGAGTCGGTGGACTGGCGCTCTTTGTTAGACGCTGCCGGTCTAGGGGATGTCGTAGATGATGAGATTACTCTTGAAGCGGATGAACTTCACGCTAAATTGCAAGAATTCGCTCCGAGAAGCGGTCCCAGCTGGTGCCTTGCCCTGTTGGGCTGCCTGTGGCAGTGGCGTTTGTAGGGGTCCAAGGCCCGGATATACATGAATTTACAGATGTACAACTACCGATGCCTTGAGGCAGATGGTCAGACGAACTCTTCGGCAGCGGGAAGAGGCCGAGCAAAAACAGCCTCACACGGCGACGAGGTGCCGCACAGAGCCACTGCCCCGTTGCTGCAGAGTATGTGTTAATTTTTTATTGTATGAATCATGTGATAAAATAAGGCTGAGGATCGAAAGATTTAATGCAGTGCCATGCGATTGCTTCTCCTGCCGCTTTGCTTTAAACTTTTGGCAGTTTCCTGCCAGTTAATCTTGTTGCAGTAGTTGTGTTTTCTCGAAGTTGCAACAATGTATGACCATTGAGTTGAATGAAAGCTCAACTCAACCGTTTTTACGTGATCCTTGGCATATGGAGGATTCAGGTGCATACATACTGAATTAGCTTTAGGCGTAAACCATGTTTCCACATAAAACAGTAGCCAGATCACGACTGCAACAAGGGAGCAAGAGTAAACACGCAAGCTGGGAGCATCTTTGCAAGCGACCTTTAGCCCAACACTGTCTGAGCAGTGCCGTGATCTGACGTGGGAAAATCTGATGGGCAGGGGCTCTCTGGAGCTTGACGTGGAAGAATGGGTCTGGGCAAGTGGAAGGAAGCGTGAGCCCGGTCGAAGTTGTCAAGGGCCTCCACCAATTCTGGACGGCTGCTATGCAAGAGGGGACTTACATGGGTTAGACACAGCCGTGCTTGCCACACCTGCCGTAACAGCTCTAGGAAGTGAGAAACTATGGCCCGTGCAGCTGCCAGTGGCTGCCGCTTCACCGAATACACGACGATGTCTTCTTCACTTACCCCTGCCACGCCCGACAGACTAGCCAGATGAAGGTCAGCGCACACATCGCTCGCAAGCAGAGAATTATGCTCGCCAGTAGCCGTGTTGCTTCCTCGTTGCCATCCACGCCCTTCGATCTGGGTCGGACATGCACATACGTAAGCAGATGAAGATTGTTGCGTCGGCACTTACAAAGAGGTAGAAAATGAAGGCAAAGGTGCAGGAAGATTTAAGAATGATTTTCAGCCCCAAAAAAGCTTTCAAGAGGCAACATCCTGTGTATGGCTCCACTCTGTGAAACGCCGTAACCGTCATGAAATGCCTCATCAACCAGTAGCAGAAGAGCAAGCAGAGCAGTGTTGCGCTGCCGAGCGTGACGGGTTGCAGGAATTACTGCCCGGCCTTTCAGCCCTCAGGGTGGCGCACAGACTGGCTTTGAAGTAACGAGTTACTGTCCACTTGCGGGCTACGCCTTTCCAAGGCCCTCTCTGCGGCGCTGCGTGCGGCGTCTTCAGCTATGGAGGCAGCGAGGATGACCGTGCTGGCCTCAAGGAACAAACAACTGGATTCTACTGGCAGCAGCTCACGCGATAGGGTAGAAATGCTGCTGCAAAATGCCTGTAAGGCTCTGTAGGTGCACATGCGTTGCATTGAAGCTGATGGCTCCGGTAGCACCAGCTGCTTCTTGCAGCTCTGCAATATGGCCTGTGCAGCAGATACTGCTCCTACAAGTGGCTGTAGAGCTATAACGGCATGGCCATCCTTCTCTTGAAGCCAACGGCGCTCGAACGCCTCCCAGCGAGTGACCAGGGAGCTCCGCTACATGCAAACCAGCAGATACATTGGCGACAGTAGCGGCAACAGAAAGCGAAACGATGGAGGAGGCTCCACCAATTAGAGCGGCAGGAGAACAGTAAATGCGTAAGCTCCAAGTGCAAGAGACGATACGTCTGTCCAGAGATTTCTGCTGCCGCATAAATTATGCTCCCAACGGAAGTTCTCTTCCTGCATACTACACTATGACGGCAATAGTGCAGCGACTCTATTTGAGATGAGGCAATGATTCCTTAGTAGTCAGCTATACAAAGTGCGTGGGCACCTGGCACAACTTCGACTCCCACCAGAATCTGTTTGCTGCTGTTACCCTATCGGAAAGGCCGTTGTTGCTGCCGGCGTCTGTGAGGCCAAGGGCACTGCATTTGATCGCGGCCTCCGAAGCGCAGCGCGGCTGCAGGACTATGGCCTGCTTTATTCGGAGATATTCTTTGATCACTTCATTTCTAAGGCGTACTAATTCTGGCGTGAAGTGGAATTTGCGGCGTTGGAGCTGCTCGAAGGGCGGTAGCTCGAGGGCCGCGATGAAGACCGACAGGGGAAGTAGACGTCCATCTACGTGGAGGTCACTGAAGCGCTTGAACTCACATCGTAGGTCTCGCAGGGCGCGAGCAGCAATTGCTGCTTTCTTATTAACGAAAACAGGGAGAGAACGCGCCAGTTCGTGGCTTGCCTGGGCGTACTTAGCCCCTGGGGCGGACATAGCAGCTGCTGCTAAGAACGCCTCTCGGGCTGAAGCGCTCGTAGTTTCAGGCCTCGTGTCAGTCATATTGCAAGCCAGAGAAGATGCGGTCTCTAAAGGCTCAGCAGCAGACGCAACCATTTCAAGAATGCGCTTCGCAAAGGCCAACTCGCTGGGGGCTTTCAGCCTGTTCAGCACCGCCCGTGAGATCACCGGTTCGGACATTGCGTCTTTCCTTTCCGTTTATGAAGCATATATGTCTGCAGAGCCACAGGACCATACCTAGAACTGCGTGTGGCCATGTGGACTTTGAAGCACAAAGCACTGCATATCGGCGAGCATGGGGTCACCGAAAGAGCACCCTACGGGAGGCACTACTTTAGAGGGGAGTAAGACTCACTTTTCTCAGTGGACTTATTAAGAGTAAGCAAGCCAACTTATACAGTACTTGTTTGCTTATTTGCAGGCCGAATCAGACGCCTGTAGACTTTGACCCCGGTGAGGCAGCGTTGGCACCACGTCCCCTACACAGCTCCAGAATACGGCTCGATCAAGCAAGGAAAAAAATTCAGTATTTTTTTAGCTATAGCCAAAAAATCAAAGCAAATTAAGGGAAGATATTCGGATGCTTGAAATAGCTCTAGCGGCCGCCTGCAGTGCCAGGCTATGCAGTCTGTCAGGTGAAGGATTGTCTTCGATGAAAGCTTACTTCAGTCCAGCGGCAACACCCGCTACACTCCCACTATGCAGCTCTAAACCCTTCTTAAATGTCCTCTGAATATTTTCGGGGTCTTTCAGCTGAGTCAGCTCAAGTGTTTGCCTTGCTGGGTTGGAAACGCAACGAGCACTGCCTCAGGCTCTGGTGACCTGAAAATACACAGTTTTGCCAGCATATTGGAACCATCCACTTGTCGCTTCGCAAAGACGCAAAATTTCCCCGAGATTAATAGGATTTTTGTGAGTACTTGGAGGCCAATGGGGAGGTTCAATAGAGAGGCATCCAAAAGTTCGTATCTTCTATGAACAGGCGCATGCTTTCACCTAGGAGTGGGACTTGTGTTTTCCCTGCTGCGGCCGTTACCACAGCCTTTTATATGCACCCGAAAATATTTGACTTAGAATTGAAACATTGTCCTGGTTTGTCGGTGCGCCACTCCGTTTGCTTGCGGGAGGCGGCACTTCCGATATGTGACCAATGGGCTGTCGCCACTCTCCTCGGTGCAAGCGCTGGCGAGAAAAAGGGGGGACCTTTCCTTCGCAGAGCACTCCAGTCTAGAGGCAATTTGTTCTTCGAAGGACCTTAGGCTTTTCGATCTGCACATGCTGAACAGACGAACATCACCGCACTCCCAGCAACTCTGGGGGCTGCTGTGAAGTTGTGCATACATTGTCTCATCTCCACAACAGTATTGTCTGCCCCACTGTTCCAGGGAGCTACAAGGTTCTTCGAAAGATCCTTCTTTGCTGTAGACTCTGGGGTCCCAGGAATTCAACAAATGGCTTTCAGCGGGCTGGTGAGTGCCTAGGGCATCACAGCCCAGTGTCTGCTCGGACAGCGGGCTGAAGGCCTGTTGGCAGAACATAGTTGCGTGCATATTTTATGACTATGCGAATACTTTACCGGTATTTTGGAGCTTCCTTTCACAGTGGTGTCATCAGGTTGAGAGAAGCCTTTCCAGGCATACAGATTCCAAGGACGTTGCTGAGACTCCAAAAACTCCCGGCTAGAGTGCTGTATGTATTATGAAATAATGTAGTCCTGTGATAAAAACAAACTCACAGCATAGGTTTCTGCAAAGACGGCTGATCGAAGAAAGCGCCCGACTCCGCCTCAGGGAGTTGCAGGGGTTCCTCCGCCTCAGGGAGTTGCAAGGGTTCTCCCGCCTCAGCAAATCTTTCGCGATCGGGCATTCCTCCCGAAGGATCCGGCATGTGCGGTTGCGAAGACACCCCAAATTCTGTTTCATCTGTATCGTCGCTATCGTCTCCGTGGTCCGCTGATAAATGAAGCTCATTAAAGGGGATGCAAGCGGAGAGGCTCTTTTCGTCAGAGAGTGCCTCAACGACAAAAGTGGGACTTCCACTACCTGACGTTTCTAGATGCTGACCATTCCAGTACCCCTGTGCGCAGTTAGGACGGGGTGCACATCTGCAAAAAAGCAGTTCTCTGTATGCTGCGAGGGGCAACGAAGAACTAAAGTGTGGAAAATGCTAATTGCTCCACTCAATTTGCCTTTAATTGCCGTCTCAGCTCGTTGCGAGTCAACTGCAGCTTTGAACAAGAGATGAACGGAGGCGGAAGACAAATTTTCAGTAGTTTCTTACGTTCTGGGAATGCCTTTGCTTTTATTTTATCTGTAGTGCAGTTGTTTCCCTTCGGCTTGCGGACTGTTTGTTGCGAATCTCTCGGTACATCACTCATCTGATAGCGTAAGCATGATCTACCGCACTTGAACCAACAATTCCTTCCTTGATAACTCTCTTAGTGCCACGCTGGGGCGGTGCTGCTGCTTGTCGAGTTGTATACCCTGTGCGCGTCAGATGCTTCGTCAGCAATCTTTCCCCTGTCCGTGCTGTCCTCGTCAGGCTCGTAGAGCATGGGTCTATAAGTGCGCCTTGAGTTTAAAGGCACACGTAATATACATGAGGAGACCTACAAAATGTTAATTTGCCCCGGCTGATGAGTGGAGAGACGTCTATTGACAAAGAGTTCAAGTGCTTGGAATTACGGCGCAGTATAGATCGGCAGGTATTGAAGCGTGAGGCTGTGGCCCCACGAGCCATTTTGGAAAGGAAACAGAATTAAAGCTCTGCGCTTGCTTGTAAGAAGGAAAACATTCACAAGATTTGTCCGAAGAATGCGGCTGGTTTCGTAGGATTCCGTCTCGTTCCTACAGGAAAAGTTTCAGGTGTACACTCACGTGGTCGTTTAGGCAGGCAAGAACAACAGTATTACAACATAAACGCCCATAAAACGTTTCTAAGAACTCACTTATTATGTTTCGGCCGCAAGAATGGAGCATTTCATGCTGCATTGCAGTAATTCCTCAAGCACTGTAATACTGTAAACGACACATTGGGTCCCAAGAAGACGTGCCAGTGGGAAAATTGCCGCGTATGTTCATTGACTGCAGCCAATCAAACAAGCCAAAAAAGTAGTTTTTGCTGATGGGCAGATCTCACCATTAGCTGTGTGGTCCGTGAATAAGCCTGTACTCCTATGCACTCGTAAACAGTTGTAGTGCCAGGTACGCTCCATAGTTCGTGCTACATGGCTGAATCTCGCTTGTTGTTCACTAATGCACGTACAAAAAAAGAATATAAAAGTATAGAAATTGCTGATAAACTCGAAGACGGCTGGAATTAAAAGCAAACGAAACGCCCGCTTCAACACTTCGCCACGGTCAAACCGGAACCGCTGCCGAAGCGGTCGTGGAGAGGCTAAACTTTGCCCCTATGCTCCGGATTTCCTCCTAATTTTGTTTAATCCAGAGCTAGTCTGGAAATTATTGCAAATAATCACATGTGTGTGACAGCAATGGTAAATTCGTGTTTGCCTGTCTGTCGGTTACCCCACGGCGCTCGCTGTGTTGCACTGTGGAGGGCGCTGCCGCTACAAGTGTTTGTCGAGGGTCCGTCAAGGGGATTTTCTCCTAGTTTTGAATTTTTTTATTTTCCTTTGTGCCTCGTAGTAGAAGTCAAAGAGGCACCACGAGTTTGCTCAACATCCTCCAGAACCCCTTGAACAGAAACTGTATCCCCTCCAGCCCGACCATCTCAGGTCTTTCACGATACGGAACCTTTCCCTTTTTCAAGTATTCCACAATAACTTCAGCTTGATTTTTGGAAAAGAGGAGCTAGTTGACACTGGATATACAGCTGAGCGGCACCACTGGAGCTCCTCGCCTTCGCCGTCTCAGGCGCGACAAAGGCACCGCCAGAGACCACTGCGACGAATTGCAGCCCTGTGAGCGGTTGTCCAATTTCGCTACATGAAATTCTCTGAGTGTATTCGTGGCTCAGGCAGCTTCCCTCATGCTGAAGAACATTTCCGTTGGCACCATGCGTGATTTTGGTATTCCCGGTCGGCTTGGTCACCCCAGCCAGTAGAGTCACTGAAGCCTTCAACAGGAACTTGTCTTTCCTCCTGGGTTTTCTGTACAGACTGGCGTACTGGTTTTTTAAGACTCTAGAGAAGCGGCGGCTGCTGCAGCACTAGTGACCGTAAGATCTTTTCGCCGGTGTTTGCATCATATGTTTTGCTTAAAAATGAGCCACACAATTTGTGCCTTCGAGTAAAGTGCTCATTCAAAACAGTAGCCTGGGGCTTTGCTTTTCGCATGTAGCTGAATTCAAAGCTGGTAGTGAGCCACACGTTGGCGCTACACGGATCCGAACTCTCGTGTGCCTGCATGTGTGAGGGTTTGTGGGAGCGTGTGTGTGTAGGCAACGGCTATGTGGCTATCACCATGAGAATGACCGCCTTTTGGTGTCTTCCCTGCGGCTCACGGCGGGGTAGATATGCGCAACTGTATGTGCTTTTTTCGTCCTTGGTTTCCTTGGTTTCACTTTTTTGTTTTTTCATTTCAGTAGCACATTCAAGTAGCTCTTCAGCGCCCCTACCGTTGCAGGACTTCGCTTCCGCTCCCACGAATTCCACTTCCTCTACCAAGGAAAATCGATTCGTCCCTGGGAATCTCGCTCCTTCGGCTTCCTTTTCCGAGACAGCTAAGAGGCTTCTAGATCTGAATACGTGTCTCTCCGACTCTCACTGCTGGGGAAGGGGCAGGCGGTGCATTGCGGGCCGCTGCTGGGGTTTCGCAGGACCTCGACACTTCCCATTTGAGTGTGGTGTTGAGACCCAATGTAGGTTGGGCCCCATCGACGGCCACTTTTACGGCGAGGGAAGCCAGGGCAGCAGGGGGCTCTTCATGCTTCGGGTCATTAATGGGGCTCTTTCGGACTGTGGTAGCTCCAGCAGCTACCAACTTGAGCACGCAGACGGTGAAAGAGCAGAGGATGCTGACTGTGATTTGAACGAAGCGGGTCAACTGAAACAGACCAATGGTCACGTTGCAGTGGGGGATGGAAAAACATTTGTTTTGGGAGAAGCTCTGCGGTGTACATACACCCCTGGGATCACACCGCAGTCGACTTGCAACGTAAGCCTGGGGGTCGTGCCCTCAGACGTCCCCGTAGGTTTCTATGCCCTCTGTGGTTGCAGCAGCACTGACTTGGGAGCCAGTGGCCGACCCTGCAGTTCCAATGAAGACTTCTCAGTGCCCGTAGGCCTCCTACGGATCACCGGTTTTGAAGCGCCGGCTACGGTTGACTTTGATCCTGACGTTTCCCCCGCCTCTGCTGCTGTTGCTGGTAGCACCCTCGCGTCAACTGCGGGAAGCAATTCTACAGCATCGCATAAAAATGTCAAATTAGGTTCAACAGAAGCAACCAAAGAGGTAGCGCCACCACTGGAAATTAGGAAAGGGGGTGCAGCAGTTGAAGCTCGAGAGACCATTGATGACACAGAACCTCTGCAAATCCTTCTCTCCATCGAAGACCAGAAGAAACTGTTGCTACCCAGTTTTTCATGCATCGTAGGCCTCCCGTGCGAGCTGCCTAGCATCAAGGGGGTTGGCTTGGTGTCTACAGAGCACTTTGTTCGGGCATTTCCTGGGGTGTACCCCAGCTGCCAAGCAGCTTCAGAGGCAAGTCCTGTCTAGCCCTTCTATCGCTCCTACGAATTTGCTTCTCCTGTTGTTCCTCTTGCCGTTATGCGCATGAGCTACCAGTAGACACTCTGTCTTTGCCGTGCGTTGCAGACTTCTACTCCTCTACGCCTTCCTTGCAGACCAATCAGCGCCGGCAGTCGCTGTATCGTCCACGTCCGTCCTGAAGACATGAAGGCCATAATGCAATCAAGAGGACAAGAAGCTGCGAAGGGCAGAAAAAATAAAGGGAGTTCAGGAGTGGGGGAACTAGAAGTTTTACCAGCTACCGCTACACTCTGTGGGTGCCGCGCAGGCCCCACAGCTCTTGATTGCTTAGGCGCCACTCTCGTAGGCTTGTTACACCTTCAGGCCGGTGATGGCCAATATTCTAGAAAACAGCTTCAGCAGACGCGCCAGCACAAAACGTCCCAGGAACAACAACTTCAGCAGCACCAGCCTCAACAGCAGCAGCTTCAGCAGAAGCAGCGCCCCCCGCCTCCGCCTCAACTGCGTAAGCTTCAGTTCATCGAGGACAGGGCAGCCAATCTACCTAAGGAGCCCGATCCTTCTGAACCTGAGGGCTCTGAGTGTCGTAAGCACGCTGACTGTTTGCGGGGCTATGGGCGTTGTGTGTCGGGACGTTGCCGTGGATTCATTCCGGACTTGAAAGGAGAGAGGCTCATTCGGTGTGTGGAGGGCTACCACTGTGACGCGGAGAAAGGAGACATTCCGACAAAGGGAGAGAAAGAGAACTTTATGGTCATAGGCATTGGGCCAGATGAAGAATGTGGCGCCTCTGTCAACTTGAAGCCTGACAGCTCGATCTTTAGCAACGCGAACAAGTGGGTATGTTCTTCTTCTCCATCTTCGTCCTGTGAGATGCGCTTTGGTGTAGCACGCCGGCTGAGTCGCGCCAACACAGTTGAAGGCGTGCGTTTATGCGGTTGTCCTGGAGTGGACAACAACGGCGATGAGCTCCCCTGCAACCACATGCGAGACTTTAGGGTGCCCATAGGCAGGGTATCTGTACAAGAATGCCTGACAAACGCTCACTGCGCTGACAGGCAGCTGGCGTACTGCATCAAGGACCACTGCGGCGGCTTCCTCGTCTCTGCTGCAGCCGCCAGTGTCAATGCCTTTGCATGCGTCCGCAACCAAGACTGTACCCTTGAGAATGTAGCAGCAAGAGGCGTCACAGAAGCCCTGAAAGTCATACCCATTGCGGCCCACCTCAAGTGCGGACCGGAGGCCGCCTTAGACCCAAACTTCCTCCCGGAAAGCGCAATGCCTTGTGTCGCTGATGTAGACGGGGACGGAAAGTGCGATGTACACCTTGGCGTCAACCACTTTTTTGGGTACGCTGCTCCTGGTGCTTCTGTTGCTGGTGCCTGATTGGTGGTGGTTTTGCTGCCGTGATGAGGTTTCTGTGAGGAGCAGCGTTAGCAAATATGCATTTTCTCCTTGTACAACACACATTCGTGCGGGCATAGATAATCTTTTGGGTTGCATTGTTGTTTTTCGTGGGTTGCTGCAGAACTCATCGTCTGTGTGGGTGCAGCGGAGGAGACTGCGACGATCCGTCAGACTTTGGGGTGGAGTTAGGCTTGCTGAATTCTGTAGAGTGCGTCGTTCACAGCGACTGTCCGATCCATGCTTTGTGTGCGAAGGGGGAATGCGTGTCCGATGACCTTCCACCTAACCTTGTGGCCTCTGACCCGGCTCCGCACTCTGTAGCTATTCCTCCGCTCAAGCAGATTCAGCTACAATTCAACGAGGATATTGTCTTCGGCAGACCTGGAGCCTCTCTCATCGTGCAGTGCCTAGACCCGGAGATCAAGTGGGTTATTACTCTTCCTGAAGGAATCGAAGAACTCAAAGTCATCAGATACTCGCCCCCAATTTTTCCCAAGGCTCACAGAAGAACTGCTGGAGCAGCAGGAGCAACGACATCAGCAGGAGCGAGAACAGCAGTTAGCGAATCCTTTGAGGAGAGTAGCGGCAGCAGTAAGTGGCTACTGGAGAGACAAGGTCAAATTCTTACGGTGACTCCCGACGAGGAGCTATCGTCTTTGCCTCAGGGCTCTTACAAGCTAAGCATAGAGTTTGGGTTTGTGACGGATTTGACGGGTAATCCTTCTGATGCCGTCCCATTCATACCCTTCAGGGTGGCTAAGGACGGGGGTTGCCCCCTCCTCTATGTAACAGGATTCGGTACGGAAAATGGCAATTGCAATGGACTCTATACCCCAATTGACCCACTTAACGGCCATGCTGGCTGGCGGGGAGCAGAAGGCAACGCTTTCTTTATTTATTACAGAAAAGAGACGGATGAGGAACCAGGAAATTGGGTAATAGACACAGATCTTGATGAGGGGGCTTTCTTAGCCTTTGCCGACGTTTCCCTTCTTCAAGGATTCCCACGGGGAGAAAAGGGGGGACCCCAACTGCCCCCTACAGGCCTGTGGCACAAATGGACGGGTAAGAAAAGAGAAGAACAGCCGTTCGCTGCCTTCGTTTGCAGAGAGAAGCCGGACCACCTCCCGCCCACCCTTATCGATGTAAAGCCGGCGCAAGGGGGCCTTCCTGGTTCTGGGGGCTTCCGTGTTCTCAAGCTTAATAACGAAACAGGGCTGTCGCTGGAGCCGATAACCCTTGTCTTCAACAAACCCATTAATTATGGCCACTGGGCTTCCCTTCGACTTACGGCAAGAGGAGAGAAAACTCCCGTAGCGGAATGGGTAACTGATCAGGAGGCAGGCATGAGAGGGCCAACGGGCTCTGTCTTGATCCGGTCACCCCAGCCTTCCTCTAGTAGCACAGATCACCAAACGAGCGATCATAAGTTGGCTTCTGAGAGCTCTCAGGATGAAGCAGAGCGGGAGGAGGAGCACGGAGTAGTTGAGCTTTCCCTTCAGGCACCTTTAGAGGCAGGAAAAGAGTATGACTTGACGGCGGACTTGGGAGCCTTCACAGATTTGTCATACAACCCTTGGGGGCCCCTTGCATCACAGACAGTTACATTTTCTGCTGTTGCCACCCACTGCAGGCTTCTTGTGGGTGCAGCGGCAGCCACAGCGGCGGCTGAAGCAGCCGAACCAGACGGGCCTGAAGCGCAGGCAACAGCAGGTGACGAAACATCTTACGAGCTGCTCGTTTCCCCCGCTGAGAGTGTCATAGAAAGTGGGGTTCTCGGGAGAGCTTCCCGTGTTGTTGAGGGTGCTGTTGCCTTTGTGCATTGTGTGAAAGGCCTGTCTGTTCCCCTAGATCTCATAGAGGGAGGCGATAGCCAAAATGCAGGAGAGCTCCGTTGCACCAACGGCAGATGGCAAGGGGCCCTCACGCCTTGCGTGCCGCGCTGTAGGCGTTATCCTCAGTTGGCTGATGCTTATGATCTCGAAGAGAGCGCTGAAGCTATCGAAGGCATCTCGGGGTCTGCGGTTGTTGTCCGATGCGCAGACGCGGCAGCAGCTTCGGATGGTAGGCCGCAACAAACTCTCAGGTGTCTGGGGGGCCGTTGGGAGCCTTTGACGCTCAAATGCTCTGCTCTCTGTCCCCCGCTGGGGCCCTTCCTGGGACCCGGCTATCTTGTAACCTTGTCACACAACCAAGACGAAGCCAACGAGGACGAAGGAGAAGATGCAGCAACAGCAGCGGCAGCGGAGGGAGAGGAACGCATTGTCAGGTGTATTGAATCTACAGTGCCCGAGCAGAAGCAAGAGCAGCAGATATTGAGATGCACAGAAGACGGTTGGGCACCATCTGTGACCCTTAATTGCAGACGCAGTTGCCGACAGCCGCCGATAACTCCAGCGGGAGCGGAATTAAGAGGCGAGGGAGTGCACCATGGCAGTGTTTGGATAGCAACCTGCAAGGAAGGTCCGCTGCTGCTGCTGCTGAAGCCACTGTAACTGCTAGTGGCTGCTACCACTAGTGATTCTGCTTTTGCACTCTTTGCTGTCGTTGTTGCTTCTGATCCTTTTGCAGCAGTTCTTTCCGCTAGGGATACACTTGTCGCCGGTGCCACCCGTGTTGCTGTTGGTAGAAATACTGCCGCATTTCTATTACTCTATGCTTCTGCTTTTGATTCCACGGCTAGAGCTTTTGTTGACTTGGTTGGGTCCATCGAAGGCTTGTGTTGGTGATGCTGCCGCTGGTCCTCTGCAGGCTATGCGGGCCCAGTGGGAGGGCTTTCTTTGAGTTTTACGTGCGAGGACGGCCAGTGGGTTCGAGAGAACGGATCTGGAAGTCCACCTTTTGCATGCAGTCCTCTCTGCCCGCCGCTTAACCTCAACCGTAGGGCGTATACAGTCACCTCCATCGAATCAGCTGCCCCAAGCGACGCTACAGCGGCAGCAGTGAAAATTGCATGCGCCGAGGACAGTCTGCTCCTGGGAGGGCCTTCAGAGGAAATCCTCCGGTGCGAAGGAGGTCTCTGGTCTCTCAGGTCCACCACATGCGCCGCCGGCTGCCGCAACCCTTTAGATGACCTTGGCGAGCACTACGTCTTGGTACGGCAGCAGCAGCAGCAGCAGCAGATTTTCAAACACGGAGATACAGCAGAGGTTACATGCAGTGGCGGCCAGCAACACAACCCTCTAGAAACAGCAGCAATAGCAATAGAAGCAACAAAACAGTCACATACCATCACCTGCGTTGACGGGCGCTGGGAATCACAACCCGACGCACAGAAGCATCGTCAGCAGTCACACCACGATAACTTAGAGGACCCAGTAGAAAATGCCACTAGCAGCAGTAGTGATGGAGTATTGCTGAGATGTAGCGCCACCTGCAGCCTGCCTCCCCTGCCGGCTCACTTTGCGATAATATTTTCAACAAAGAGAGGGGTCACTCGAAGGCCCCGCAAGTTCCTTTGGCGAGAGGGGGAGAAAATATCGGTTGGCTGTTCCCCGCACTTTGACTCAACTCAGCGGCAGCAACAACAACAGCAGCAGCAGCCGCTGCAGCAGTTGGAATGCCTCGATGGGACCTGGGCAGGCAACCTTCCAAAGGACATGTGCGTAAGGCAGTGCCCAGGAGCTTCTGGAAGTCCTTCTGAGGCGCAGTGGAGAGAGTGGGGTGTTCGGTGCGGCGAGTCCTGCAGTAGCAGCTGTGGCAGCTGCTACAACCGGAAAAGAGATAGAGATGAAGAGGGCATCGACTGTGGTGGTCCATTCTGCGAGCCCTGTAGCAGTTGTAGCCCTCTGCTGCTGAAACAGTTTGTGATGCAGCCCAGGCTTTTCTCGACATCACTGAAGAAGCTCCACCAGAAACAGCAACAGCAGCCGGAGGTGTTCCCGGTTGAGATGACAAGACATGGATCAAGCATTCGGTTTTCATGCAATAGCAGCGCCTCGCTGTCTCTCAAGGTGACTTGCGATAACGGCAGTTGGATCACAGGTGCAGCAGCAGGGCTAGAAGAGCCTGCAGCAGCTGACGAAGCAGCACGAATCGCTGCTTTCGCTGCAGCGTGCACGCAGACTCAAGTGATGGCTGTAGCTACAAACATCATCAGCGGAGAAGCATTGCCTCGGGCGATCAGCGCAGCACCCGCAGGAGCAGAACGACGTGCCGACGAAGAGCTTCTTCTGTTGGGATCAGCTGCAATCCACGGGGATGCGCCGCCCCTGCAGTGGCGAGAAGCCGAGCTCCTGCTCTTTGGGCCTCCCATCTTGCGCGCCCCACAGCTAGAAGTCTCGCCATCTTTCCAGCAGCAGCAGCACCAGCAGCGTCGCCTTAGCCCTTGTATGCAAGGTCTCGTTGATGGGGTATCGCGTCTGCTTGTAGGGGAGTGCGGAGCCCTCGCCTTCGGACGGTCAGCTCTGAAAGTTGCTTCTTTTTGTAAAGGCACATGCAACGCCAACTTCAAACGGGCGCTGCAGGAAGCAACAGAGTGCAGCAGCAAGACTGCTTCCGCTGCTGCCCCTGGCAATGCACCTGATTCAGCTTCTGCATCTAATGCCGCAACATTGCAGGATGAGGAGTTGTTACAACTGTTCAAGGATCTGCTTCAGGTCTTTTGTTCTGTTGAAGATGGAAAGCACTGCTTCAGCCAAGCTGGTGATACACTCGAGCAACTGCAGCGATTGCACCAGACAGCCCATTTACAGCAACAGCTGCGCCAACACATGTGCCCCGGCAGCAGCGGCAACGCTTGTTTCAACAGTAACATCCGCTATGTCTCATTGCTGCAGCAGCTTAGGGAGCACGTAGACCTCATGCTGCCAGGCATGCAGCAAGAGCAGCAGCAGCAATCTCCCGCGAACGCAGCAGCCGCAGCAGCCGTAGCGGGAGACAGCAAGGAGCTGGAAGAAAGTGTGGTTGGAGCTGGTGTTCGTGGCCTCTTGACGGACCTGCGGCGCTTGCCTGCGGTTATTTCCCTGCTATGCACAGAGGTGGACGGGAAAAGCTGTGCTTTCCAAGTGCTTGCATTGGGAGGAAGTAACCCGTTCGCCGCGTTGCCGGTTCGGGGAGCAGCAGCTGAATTCTGTAGTAGTGATCCAACAGCTCCATGTCTTCTAGAAGTGTACAGGCTTGTCGGGAAGGAGCTCTTACGCCCGCATCTGCCGAACCACATAGAGCAGCTCCCACTGCAAAAGGAGCAGCAGTTGCTGCTGCAACAGGTGCATCCCCATGACTGGGCCATCGGCACTGCTATGCAGAGCATTGGTAGAAATTTTTGTCTCCGCAGCGCTGAAGACAAAACGTGTGGAGCGCTGCTGGTGCCGGCAGAGAGCGTAAGTGCAGCACCAGCACTAGGAGCAGTGTATCCATATGAGCCCGCAGCAGCAGCAGACCTTCCCCAGTGCCACTGCCCACTGGCGTTCGTGGGCGACGGCGACTGCGATATTACCTGCAACACAGCGGCATGCGCATTTGACAAGGGAGACTGTCTGGCGCAGCGGCAGCCTCTACTGCAGCCAATTGTCGATACGCTTGAGGAAGAGACTTTCAGCAGAGACAGCCCTTGCTTTCCTTTTTCTAAAGCCTTTCACTGCGTGAAGAAGGAGTGCAGACAGGAAATGCAGGGTAAGCATACAAACCCTTGAGAGTGTCGCCTCCGTTGCTCCTGGCGTTGTTGTTGCTCCTACTTTTGCTTCCACGGCCGCTGCGTTAATGCTCCGCTTGAATATATCCTTTTTTGCCGTTACTTCTCCTGCAGTTGGCCGCTTTTGCTGCTATCAGTGTTGGAAGTGGGTTTAGAGCTGCGTCGTTTGCTCGCCTATATCATCAGCTTATCAGCTAGTTGTCAATTGATGTGTGCGGTGTGTATCCATTCATATAGCTGATTTTGTATATGCGTGCTTTGTTATTTTTTCGTCTCCGCTGCACGCGTCTGCTTCACGGAGGTATGCCACACTTTTCTACTTTACGTCTGCTGCTCAGAACTACAGGCACAGCACGGTTGTTGCATTGCTCCTCAGCTGGAGTTGCTACGCGATTTGCTGTACATAGACCATCAACAACGAGAGCAGCAGCGGCATCAGCTCGCATTACTGCAGCAGCAGATGCCGGACGCAGTTACACCGCACCTCCTACGGCTTGTTGAATCTCTTTGGGGGGAAATGGAAGGGACTTCAGGACCTATGGAGCTTTATCGGTCTGTAGCGTTCATCGAGGCTGACTGCAAGGTGCTTCTGGCTGTTGGTGGCGCTTCTGCTGTTTCTGCTGTCGCTGGGAGCTAATACTACTGCTGCTGCTGCCGCGTGTTTCCCCGTTGCCACAAGCAGCCCTTCAACTTCTGTGGTCGCGCTGCCTTCGCCCTTTCTGCCGTCTTCACTTCGACAATGCATGTACCTAACTTTGCAGTGAATCTACTATACGGGCTCTTGCTGCTGTTTGTGCTGCTTCCACTGCTTCTGCGGTTGCTACTGTCTGGTTGCCTCTCAATCCGCAAGAATTCTGAGTCGCCGTGTTGCCTATCAGATGCCCCTAGATCGCACATGTTCAAGAGGTCTTAACCGCACGGTGTTCGCCGTCGATGCGACTCTGGAGGGCCTGAACTACGACGCCCTAAAGGCCAGCAGCGATGGTAGCAGCAGCGGTGAGGGAGAAGAGGCGCTGCGTCATGTGCTTAGAGACGTCCTATCTGGGGCTTTGGGTATTCCTGTAGGCGATGTGCTGCTTGTAAGAACCTGGGAAGGACTTGATGTTCATGCACTTATTGACGCTGGCCCCCTCAGCAACAAAGCCCATTTCCTTCAAGTAAAATTTATCCCTCGGTCCCAAAAATAGTGGCAAAGCCATACAACTCAAAAATGAATTACGATATGAACAGGCATCTCTACTGCTTGTATGGGAGAAACACAGAAACGGGAAGACACGAAACAATAAAAAGAGGCGGAAAGGGCACGGAAAGACAGAAATTGAAGGAGTCATTAACGTCAAGACTCCACAACGCACGGAAACAACAGCTTAGGAATAAAAGAAGAAATTTTTTTGTGCTGGTATGCTTCGCCTCAGGCAGTGGACCGATTAAGAAAGGACGGACCGACTGGGTTGGCTGCGCTGTTGTCTGCTGAGCTGCAGCGGCAGCAAGCTGCCATTTTTAGCGCTGCTATAGGACAGCAGCAGTACCAACAGCAGCTGCAGAAGCAGCAGAGTGCTTTAGGCCCACTGCTGCTACACCCCATCCCGCTACTACCTGCAGCAGCACTTTCACCCCATTCTGTTTTTGTCCCTCCCGATAGTGTCTCAATTAGTCAAATAGCTTTTGCGTCTCCAGGTAGCAGCAGCAGCAATAGTAGTGGCAGTAGCCGACGGCAGCAGCAGCAGTTGCTGCTTCTGCGACCAGAGAAAGGCACGTGGGGGCTAGGTCGTCTTCCTACGCGAGATGTGTCGTGCAACACAAACGACGGCCTCAGCGCCCCACTAAATGTCTCTGTCTTCGAGGCATATAGGCTCCATTCAAATGCGGCAACCAACGAACACGGCAGCATCATCACAGTGAGAAAACCTGCTTCTGCTGCTGCATTTGTGGATGTGCAACTGGCCCTGCTAAAGTGCTTTGGCCATGTGCTGTGGGTGGTACGGTGTGTCTGTGGGAGTGCTAATAGTGTTTCTCATTTTGCTGTGTCGGAGACTGCGTAAGCTAGTGCTCGTCACCAATCGCCTGCCCAGCTGCTGCGAGCATGTTGCAGTTCGTGCTGCCGTAGCTAGTGCATTTTCTCATGAAGCAACATCATAGATGCGTATGCTGTGCTTCTGCTTCTGTAGGTGGAGTGCGGGCGTGGATACTCTCCTGTTGCTGGCTCAAGCCCTCAAGAGCTCATATGTCAACAGGGCCGGTGGAGCCCTTTGGTGCCTGCAGTTGGCAGAAACGGTCCTCAGGGCCTCCACAGAGGCTCCCTTGGCGGCCCTCGTGAGCGCATACTGCGCTGCAGAAAACCGTGCGGTCCCTACGAAGCGTCAGACCCTGCAGTTCTAGGGCCTGCCTTCATAGCCAGCGGGGCAGGCGAGGCTGACGGGGATCGGAGGACTATCTACTGCGCTTCGGGGTTTGTCGCTGCTGCGGACATGATGCCTAAGACTGAAACGGTTGCGTGCAGCAATGGAGTGTGGGGCAAACGGCAGCTCAAGTGCATAAAAGACTTCGCAGCCATTGCTGAGACGAGCCCCTGCGCCATTGCCCTCTCTCAGCTGCCTCCTACACTCAAGGTTGACAGTCTGCCCACAGCAGCTACAAGCCATGAAGGTCCTGCTGGGGCAGCCTTTATCAACAGCGACGTAGCTCAAGCCCTCGCGGCCACCTTTCAAAGGGCTGGGGTGTCACTTCAGCTCTTTAGAGTAGGATGTGCCAGAGGATTCGTCTCAACTTCAGTGCAGCGGAAGCAGCAACCGCAGTTGCAGCAGCAGCAGCCGTTTACTTATGCAGCTTGCAAAGATGGAAGACTGCTAGATTTGGGGCCACGCGAGCCTTTGCCTATGGGGGCATTTGCCTCAGGAGAGGCAGCGGAGGCCCTGGCTCAGCAGCTGAAGTTGCGCGTGGATTCGGCTCCAGAAGCGATAACGTCGGCAGAAGCAGCACAAACAACGGAAGGAGCAGCGGTGCTCTCAGACGAAGACTCCACAAGTGCAGCAGCAGTCGCATTTGTAGAATCCAATGTCGAAGGAGCAAGTTTAGCGGCAACAGGCTCCAAGGGCAGCAACAGCATGAAGGGCTCTACCCCTATGCTACTAGGTGCTGCACTGAAGTGCCAAAGAGAGCTGCGACAGGAGCCTCCAAAGCCTCCTAAACCCGTAAGCGATACACTGCTAGTGTTCAGTTGTCTGTTGCTTCTCTTTGTCTTGGTTGTTGCCCTACTGGCCCTTTGGTGGCTTCGTGCGCGGCGCCGACAGAAAAGGGCAGCAAAACTGCAGCAACAGCAACAGCAGGATGAAGGAGATGCTGGACCTACCAGCAGTGACATCGGGAGGGACTTCCTTTCCCCCGCAGGGGCAGAGGAACCGTCCATTGGAGACATGCACAGTGCAGCAGCAGAAACAGACCCATACAGAGGCCCCCTTCCCCCCCAGCCGCTGCGACACGGCACCAAAACGAATGCGGCACCTGCCATTTACGCCACAGGAGCGTATGAAGGGACACCTCTTCCTTGCTTGCTTGAAGCAGGGCAACAGCAGCAACAGAGACGTCAACAAAGACCTGCTGCATTCCCGCCTGTTTTTCCCTCTGAAGAAGCAGGAGCAGCTGCTGCTTCTACAGATGACAACTGCTTAGCCTTCTACGCCCCTGTTTACTACACAGGCCTAACAGGAGACAAGGGGCTCGTAAGGGAGGAAGGAGACAGCAACAGCTTCGTTGCTGCTGTCGAGGAGGAGCCTAAACACTATGCCTATCCTGAGCAACAACAGCAGCACCAACGGAAGCTGCTGCAGCAGCACGCTGCGGATGCATCTGATAAATGTAAGGGTAATTTTCGGCAAATGGACATGCTCCCGCTCAGGGGAAACCGACCTGGAGCAGTGAATGCAGCTTACACTGCTGCTCCGACTGCAGAGCAGAAGGTCGCCACGAACGTAGTGGCAGCAAGAGCAGCCGCTGCTGCAGGAGTTTCAGGGTGGGAGCCCCAAGGAGTAACTGAAACAGATTCACTCCCCACATACTCACAGCGAGAAGCCCTGGCCCCTCAGCAGCAGCAGCAGCTGCAGCATACAGTCTCTCGCAGAGGCAAATCCCTGGAAGAAATAGCTCATGCTGTTTTCGGCGAAAGCAGCATCCCTTCTGCAGGCATCCCCCTATCAGAGGAGGATGAACTCTACCCTGAGGATTCTGCTAGCTGCATGGTGATGGCAGCAAGTCAACGGCGGGAATCTGCAGTGGCGGCAGCTGTCGCACCAGCCAGTGGGTCTCCACGATGGTCAAAGCAAAGGGGCCGACTTACTAGGCAGCATTCCGCCTCTCACGGGCATGGCAGAAACAGAGGCCTACGAAGTTTCCCTCAAGGCGACATGGCCCCGGGAAGACATATCCACGCCTAGTCCAGCCAGCGATGCCTCGAAAACTCAAGTAGACTAACTGGGGTAGAGCTATCCTGCACATGAGTTCCCTTGACGCGAGAGCCACCTTCAGTGCATGCCAGCCAATCAAAGAGCACGCTGCGCGGCACCGAGCAGCTCGCTTGCTGGCTAGCCGCAGATGAACAAGACAAGTTCTTCGCTGGCTATTGAGTAACCACAGAGCATTCAAGTACTTAACATTCCTAGCTCGGGCGCAGCCAGTCGCCGATCAGCGACGTGGCAAACACGTCCATTCTACTGAACTAGACAGGCAGAAGCGCACTACTAGATAAAGCGACAGACGGGCTAGGTCAGTTCACTAAGCAGGCCTTCAGCGTGTCTTTGCAGAACCAGCAAGTAGTCCAAGAGCTAATTAAGCCAGGCTGCAAAAGCTGTACCACTTTGCCTTCAATGTTTCCGTGCCTCCTGTGGAGATACAGGACAGTCCCTCTCAATGCACTGAACGGGTTAGGACTCTACTTGAGCCAATCTCTCTGCTACTGCGGCTGAAACTAAACTCCATCCAAGCGACTGCACAGTGTTGTTCCATACTAACCTATGTGTCCGACCGCCGCAGGTCCACATATCTGTGCCCTCCACGTCCTTGAGTCTGCTGCCTCTGTTGATGTGTGATAGAGCTTCCGGGCACTTAGAGGTGCATACGCGCATATCTGTTACTCTTCGCTCCACACTTACTGTGCGTGCATTCGCCCTTCTAATTATTCTGTCCACACTGTATTTGCGTCCTTAGCGGTGTCTGCAGTCGGGCTATAAGCGCTCAAAAGGGCTCCTCGTAAGCGAACGGCACAAAAATTCAAAGCCCAGCAAAGTCCTATATTCAAAATGCTTTACAAGAGGTCTGTTTAATCTCTGCAGAAATCAGGAGGTACCCTCTTTGGGTTACTAAGGCTGCACTTGTCTCCATCCCGTTCTACCCCTGCGCCGACTTCCCTCTCGTTTGTAAGGGCTGTTTTTCATCCCTGCATGTGTACAAGTGTTAGTGTTTTCTGGCCTCGTCGTCAACGCCATGCAGCTTGGCAGCTCGACCCCTTTGTCAGGTCTGATCTCAACTCCTCTTCTTGGGGTTTACTTGGCCCTTTTTCTTGCTGGGCAACGCAGAAACAGCCTCCTTTAAAGACCTGGCTTGAGCCATCTCTTCTTCGTACAGCTTTGCTATGCGTTCTGGGTCATGCGGGGCCCAATCAATAGTGTTGCGCTTGTACAGGGGCCATGAAGGCACGCAAATGACAGTGGCAATAGCAGCCATCACCATCACGCATAAAACGCTGTCATAAAAAGATTCCGTTGCAAAGCCGTAAATGAATCCGAAACAGGTGCCCAACGCAAACAGCATCGTCACCAAGCGCTGTAGAACTTGCTGGGCGGTGAAGTCAACCACGCCTTCCCGAAGAGAAAGGAGCACTTCCCGTGCTGACGCCAGCATCTTCAGAAGTGCTGCAGCAACAGTGGTGACGACCAGCCCCTGCAGTAAGTACGGTACGAGTTTGAAGCTGCAGCTTAGTTAACAGCAGAAGTCTTTCAATGCTTCTCAAACAACTCTGGGATTCCTTTCCTTCCACCTTTCGACCGTTGATTTTCCCTGCCTCTCTTCAATTCTTGTGATCCCTTGTCCCTTTCCGTCACGTCGCTTCCTTGTGCTCCAGGCCGTTGAGAACCACAAAAGTGAAGGGGAGAGTAGCAGGAAGAAACCAGAAAAAGATGGCGCGAAGAGTATATGCAGCTATCTTGGTCTCAGGCAGCTGAATGTTGAGCGTTTTACTCGTTGATCAAACGATGTGCGGGCAATGATCCAAAAAATAAAACGGAAGAAGAGCAGCCTACAGTAAATCGAATTTATTTCGACTGCGGTTTGTCAAAATGGTCTCTGCGGCTGCCGGAACAGCGTTTTGGCTGCAGCGGCGGGCCAAAGGTGGCGCGCATAGCGCATACGAACTTTCGTTTTTGGTGTTTAATTTCGCACAAAATAAAGGAAAATTGTAACAGACAGTCAGATTAAAACCCTAATTCGTAGACAATTCAGCGGCAAGCCACCCGGTGGCTCCTCCCTCCGGTGTCTTCTAGTGAACAACACAAATGCATATACAAGCCACCAGTCTCCCTTAGTAGTTGCTTGTGTAGGTACCTCTACATTACGAATTTCACTGCAGCCAAAGTATTGCATGATCAGCGCCATTAGTTTGTTAACATACTGGGCTCTGCATTGCATGGCTGCCCAGCTCTAGTCGCGTACTTGTGTTGGCTGCTCACTTAGCCTTGCACGCCGGTTAGGTCCTGCTCAAACCAAATCTACTTGTGATCATTTTATATTCGCGTCTTTGCCTTGTACTTAGTTTTCGGTGCAGCGTTCGGTACATTCGATACTTGTCTGTGCGCGTGCTGCACTAGCAATCTGCTGCGCGCAGCCTGCTATAGCCACTACCTTACGGTGGTACTAAACGATACGCGCTTGAGAAAAATGGAGCACATATTCAGTGGAGTGCACGGATCTCTGCAAATCTTTTAAGTTCCTCGATTTAACGTGGTGCACCTCGCACAAAGGTGCCAAGCTTTGCGCGTCAGGGGTTACCTTTACATTTTTTAAATTACTCCTCTCTAGTGCATGGCACCTGAGACGAACTTTCCGTTGTAAAAAATTGTGCGATGCAGAAAGAAGCAAAGATACGTACCACAAATGGAAATTCGAGGAAATATATTAACGTAGACCCTGCTTCACGAAGTCCGAAGTATCTAGATCATATGCACTTCAAGTGCACTTTGAGTGCAATATCCACTCTATTTCATCACAAGGGATCCATGAGGAAAAAGTTGCTTTACATTCAAGAAGCCAAAGATGCACTTAACTTTGCTGGACTGCTCGCACTACACTTTTGAAAGAGTTGACTGTTTCTGGCTGGACATTCACGGACATGAACTCCACTCAGAAGTATCCGATGAACGACCAGGCATGTCTAGCCGCATTCACAGCTCTTTGGGAGTGGCGCTGCTTATGGCATGCCGCTATGGTCGCAGCATAGGCTGACCAGAAAGGCACTTACTCAGCTATGACGGTTGAGTTCTTGGGGGGACTTGAAGGTCTCAAAATGGTGTACTTGGAGTGGCACGCGCGATACATGCGTCTCACCGAGGTTGGGTTTCAAGATATGCCTTTAGTTAATGGAATGATTTCCAAATGCACTTTATCTAGGGATTACGCATTTTATTCTACTGACTTCAAGGAGATTGCAGCAGAATTGTAAGTACACAGATTGCTCTATCCCGAAGTGACGCGCCACCCTGCATACGAGCAGGTTATTAACACGTAACGCACGAACAGTGTCAGCAATTCGATACTTTGGATTACCGGAAACTTCCAGGGAATTTGATTGAACTCACATGTCCAGGGTTTTGTGTGATCGCAGGAGTGGCATTGCAGTTACCAGCTCTTAGCAGTATTCGGTAGTGCGGCTGCAGTTTCTAGACGTCTGCAGCGCTGTGGCTCAGAAAGTGAAATTTAAGAGTTTAAAGGTTTAGTATTTTGCCTATGTATACATGTTATGCACGTCCTGGGTGAGGAAGCCTACATATCTCTGTTCCTGCTCTAGGATAGCGCCTGTTGCATTGCAGGAGTCGTCGACGTGTAGCCCGAAACGTTTCGTAGCGTCTGGAGATTGCATGGTTGTGTATTTGATTAGGCGCCGCTTATGGTTTTGTACAGGCTGAGCGTGAGCCTCAGCGCGTACAAAACCATCAGCTGCACAGTACACTGCTGAGCCAATACTGACGCAACAAAGCAGTTCAAGCTCCGAAAGCCAGAGCAAGAAAAACTGCGAAGCATTCATATGAATCATTCTAGAAGAAAAACAGGAGAATACAAGAGTTAAATCGGCGTTTCCGGCCCTTCAACAGCACTTACGGCCCTCCGTCACCTATGATGGCATTTTAAAAAGGCAGCAATTGAGACAAAACAGAAGTAATCCGACGGAGGGGCACGCCGGTCGATCTCACAAACACTAACATTTTGTTTCAGAGGCTATACTCACATAGACGTTTTTGCAACAGCGCACGTGTCACCCAACAAGAACGCTCTACCGCCGATGTAGCGGTGCGGAATAACTTGCCAACCTGATATTCATGATAGTCGTTTATGCTCCTTTTACGCGGGGACTTTGCAATTCTGGTCCAGAGTTAGAACACTTCTTGACGCTTATGAGGTCCAGCACTCTCCTAGGGCTGTGCCACCTGTGGACTGACCCTTCAACGTTTTGCATTTCTGGCTACTACCAACGAAAAGCGGAGCTGCAACGGCAAGACGAATTGCTGGACAGCCGTGCAAGAGCCAGCAGCGTAGCGACTGGCACGCTAGAAAGACTCTCACGAGGCGTGGTTGATAAACCTACCCTTAAGAGATCAAGATGATGGACAGGGGAACGGCAACGTGAATTAGCATGCTAAGTGCAAGCGAAGATAGTCCAAGCGCCGATGACCCTTCACAGAGCAACACAGCTTTGTCCAAGGTGCGATACACGAACACATGTGCTGCTGCACCTCTTGTAGGTGCCGTTGTGGCAGTTGGCCTCCTGTACTTTGGCCCATGCTATTCTGTAGCAGCAGTGTCAGCTTCTGCCACAGAGGCTTTGATCTCATCAGCATTAGTCTGTGCAGAAGAAACGTGAAGTACATGAGACCTTGTGCTAACAGGAACAGCAGAAGAAGCAGTCCCATAAATCAGCGCCTTGTCTTCATTCTCCTCTGCATTGGAATCATGCAGCTTCTGTGTCGACGCAAGTGTCTCCCCAACGTCCTGGAAACGTACATATTCATGCTGATGTTGCTGCATTTGCGGCAGCACGCCTTGCTGTCCTTGCTGCTCCCGCTTTTCCCAGTGTAGTTGGCTGTGCTGCTGCTCCTGTAGTTGTGTAGGGCTGTTGGTAGGCTGACAATGCAGGGATGGCTCCTCCTGCTTATCTATTTCCTGTTGGAGCTGGCGCTGGTGGCCTTCGTCGGGTTGATGGCTAAGCAATTGCAGCAGCAGCTGATGTAGGGAATCTGACTGTTTCCCTTCCGGCGCCTTCTGATGCTCTTTCTGTTCTGCGTGCTGCTCGTGGTGTTGTACCTGGTGTTGCTGCAAGTGGTGCTGCTGCTCCTTTTGCTGTTGCTGTGCGCATTTTGCAGGTTCTGTTGTTTGCTCCTCTTTTACCTGGATTTGCTCAAGTGCCAATGGCACCAATTCGGGTGCCCGGAAAACAACATGTGTATGCAGAGAGGCGTCAGTAACCATGCCAGCAGGAGCGGCAGCTGCTGTGATTGGGACATCACCAACTGCTGTCGTTGCAGCAGGATGAACAGCTACAGGTGCTGTTGCTGTTCCTTTTACATGTTGGGCTTCTGTAGCCGGAAACGAGGCAGCTCGCGCTGAAGCCGATGAGCCACCATGATATTTGCTTTGCGCTATTTGGCTTCTGTTAGTGGCATGATTGGTTCCTTCTCCAGACAGGGCTTCAACAGCAAGTGGACTTCCTGCTGCAAGCATTATTGTCTTCTGCTTGCCCTTGCGCTTAGCAGGGATGCTTCGCTGCGGATTCTGCACACGCGTGTGCTGCTGTTGCTGTCCCTGCCTCTCACACTGCATCTCCGTGTCCTGCGGCTGTGTCTGCTGCAACAAGAGCTCCTGCTGCAATTCTTTGCAACGCTGTTTCTTCTCGTTGAGCAGTCGGCAGCAACTTAGCAGCAGCAGCTCCCGTTGGTTCTGTGCAGCATTAGCAGCTGCCTCCATACTGCGCATAGTCTGCTGAAGCTGCTGCAGCGCCTCCGTTGAGGCAGCCCGCAGTTGCTGGAATAACAGCTCGTGCATTTTCTGCTGTGCCAGTGCGGCAGCAAAGAAGCTCCGGCTAGCAACCGCTGCAGGCACTTCTCGAAGCTCTAAAGGACGGCAGAGTGGAACATGCATCAGGCTGCTGCCGTAAAGTACCATTGATAGTAGCAGATCTGCGCTACCTTCTCCTGAACCTGGTGCAACAGCAGTCATTGCTTGAGCGGGGTCCAAAGAGTGTGACGTTGTGGCAGTGTGAGGAGCGGCACGGTGTAGCACAAGACACACATTGCTGGTAGTGCTGTCGCAGGCACTGCTGCAGCTACCGCCCAGCGCCGTTGCAAGGCTCAATGCAGCAGCAGTGCTGCTGCGCAGTGGCCTGTGGATGTCGGACGTTCGCAGCGAACCCTTGTAAAAGCTGTTTGGAGGAAGGCTAAGTAAAAACCTGCACACGAAATGGCTTTCGACGTTTCCTCTACTGTAGCTGTCGTTATTTAAAGGCAAGAGATCCTCTGGGTCGTCGCCGCTTTGCAGCAGCGTTGCTGCAGCAGCGTTCGCTAGTTCCGAAACTGACAGTGACGCCTCCGCTTCTCTTGCCCCTTCACAAACAGATGCAATGCAGTCAGAGCTATTATCGAACGCTGCAGAAGGTTGATGCTGCTCTCTCCAAGAAGGTGACCAACGCGAGCAAATGCGGAGCGACACTCTGGTGCAGCCTTTAGGAGCAGCAGTTGCGCCTGCCTCTGCTGCACTTATGCCAGGGACAGCACCGACTGCTGTAGTTGCTGCGGCTGTCAAGCTTTTGCACGATTGAGGGCTGCAACAGGAACACATAAGGCCCCATGTAACGCAGAAGCGCACAGTTGCTGCTGAACCTTCCGCTCCTCCTGTAGCAGATGCTGTCGCTAACATAGCAGCTGCAGGTGTCCCCGATGTTTTTTCCTCCATTAGAAACCTCTCGATAGCGCATATTCTTGGTTTAATGCTGTTCTGGCTTCTTTTCTCGCTGTGTATTGGCAGCTGCCTCTGTCACTTCCCTTTCCATTGTTGCTGTTCCTCTCGGCAGTCATCTGACAGTAGTATATGTTCAACTTTTAGGTTCCTTCCTTTTCATGTGCTGAAGAATGCGCTAGAGCTGTTGCTGGGCTTGCCGTTTGCTCAACAGCGCGTTTTTGTTCGCTGTATGTCAGGCCCTGTCGGCTGCGGTCCGTTGCGCCAGAATATTGACAAGAACCAGCTAACAGTCACAGGAACAAAGGTGACTTTGAAGCCAATAGTCATGTGCAACAACTTCTGGTTGCTGGGCCTTCTGTTTCTCCGAGAGTCCTCCCACACTTGAATGGTGCAACTGGGGCCCCACCGCCATTGCAACAAAGGAGAAGCCCAACACCTAAAACAGCTCGAACAGCTGCAGCTGCAAAAACAAGAGTTTAGTGAACAACTGGCGCTCATTTGTGCCCATACAATATACCTCCTGCTGCTATTTGCCGCGACAGCAAAACACGCAGCAACACGAGCGGCAGCAGTAGAACTGCGGCGGAGGTGTTCCCCCGTTGCCGACTACCTATGAATAGTTCAACGGTTTGGTGACCTTGTTGCCAGCGGATCTGTAGCTGTAACTGAGGCAGCAGTGGCAACTAGTGCAACGGCTCCTGCCCAGCTTAAGCGAAAACAAGAGCAAGGCAACGGCAACAGGAACAGCAGCTAGAGACAGGCTGGTGTAGGTCCCTGGAAGAACTTGGCAGCAGCGGCACCAGCTCTGGCAGCAGAGACATTACAGCTGACAATACCGACAACAAAGCCAAAGAGGGCTCGCCGTTGCGGCTTATTCCTTGCTTGTCTGTGCCGCAATAGTATAGGGGGGACAGACCTCCCAACTGCTTCAATTTAATGGCAACAGCAAATGCATCAACAAGTACAGGGCCCCTCCGAGACCCTTGTTAGACAGGAGCGATTGCAACGACAAAAGTGGGGGTTCACGGCTGCCGCAGTTTAGCTGCCGCAGGAGTTGCAGCAGCGTCCATGGGGCGCAAAGCAACTGGAAGCAAGTCAATCTCCAGCAGCTGTAAGGACGCGAAGAGCAATGCACCGACAGCACAAGCTTCCTCTGCTGCTACAGTATCTCCCACCGTGCAAACAGCAACAGCAGGATTCCAAGTACGGCAAGTAGCTGCAGCAGTTGCAACACTGGCTCAGCCAGCAGCAGCCAGTGCTGCTCTGCCTCCAGCTTGGGGAGAAGTAGGAGAGGAACCTCCGCAGAGACATGCGCGCCGCAAATCACGGAAACAGCAGCAGCAAGAGGCAGCAACGAAGAGGAAGGCCCGGCAGGCCCTTGCTACTGCTGCCAGCAGCAGCTGTAGCGGCGGCAATAGCGCCAGTCAAAGTTGCAGCAGTAGCAGCACCGTCATTCAGTGCATATGCGGGTCAGAACTTCACCCAGGGACAAGTGGGCATGATGAGATAGCGGCACGTGTCCTGCAGCGGCAACAGCACTTGCTAAAGCAGCAGCAAGAGCTGCAACAAACAAAGCAGCATGTGTGCTCTGACGAGCTTATGGACGAAATACGGGCACTCGATGTCCTCTATCCTCCGCTTTTGTTGCTACAGCGCGGGTACATTGCATTGCTGCTGCTAGGGCTGCGAACCCACTGGTGATGTTCGTGGCAGCTGCCTGTGCTCATGCAGTTGACCGGCTGCCTTCCCTGCCACTGCTGCTCCTTGGCGCCTTCCCCTGCAGGGAATTCTTAGGTGGAGCTGTAGCTGTAATCCTTGCGGTGTTAGGGCCTGTGGGATGCTACTGTTGGCGCCCTCCTCGACTATACTACAGATTGTTGTGTCTGCTACTTTTCTAGAGCTGTGGCCATGTGCGTGCGTGCTGTGTTGCAGGCTGCTGTCTGAAACGTTCATAGCAGAGGTTGAACACACTCGTGCTGCGGCCGCCGCAGCGTTTGCTACTTTGCAGGCAGGTAGCCACAAGGTAAACCCCTGGGATGCTGGGCGCTTGTTTTCCACCGCGTGTGCCACATTCCTGGTACTGTCGCCACTTAACTGTTTCCATTGCCGCTACGATGCATCTTCAGCTGCTTCCGCTCCTAGCTTCAGCAATAAGCGCACAACCCGCGGGGCGAATTCTAGTCGCGCAGACACGGGACTTTCCGATGACGGCAGCAGCAGCAGCAGCAGATCCAGGAGCAGGTGCAGCAGCACGAACAAGGAGAGAAGCAGCAGCTTGGATAGTTGTAATTTGGCAGCATTGACGCCCCAGCAGCAGTTGAAGGTGGCGTTTCGCTGTCGCTGCGAGTGCTGCGGCAGCCGCCTAGGAAGTGATGGTCGTGGCCTTAGCAGCAGCAGCGGCAACACCAACGAGTCCATCCGCATAGCTTTCCACATCAGTACTTTCAGAACTGAAGAGCACATAGCAGTCATTGATGCCCTCTTGCCACCAACGTGCGTAGCGACCATTGCGTCTGCTTTCTCGGCTGTTGCTGCTTTCGCCGCAGCTTGTGCTGCTTGTTGTAGTGATTTCGATGCCACGGGGGTCTTCTGTGTGTCCCAGGTGTTGCTGCGCTCAAGTGTTTTCGATGCTGTCCCTTTCCTTTCCTAATTAGACACTAACGAAGTTTATACTAGTTCTTGCTGCTACAGCTCTTGTTTTCGTTGCATTGCGCCCCCGTAGGTACCCGACATCACGGCCTACTGTCTGTATTGGCCTATCATGCAACCCATCAAAGGAAAGATTGGGGTTGTTGCTGCAGCAGCTGTCGACCTCTTATTTTAAGGAACCGTGCGTTAAACTGCTGCTGGTTGTGACGACGGCGATCGGTTGCTACAACTTCTCCTAAACTGCTTTTCTGCTGCGGTCTGTTGCTACAGTGCTGTCGCTGCGGCGGGTCACGTCACTTCGTGTCTTTGCAGCCACAAACATTATGCAGCGGATGCTGATTTTTTGCTGCTTCAACTGCAGGAGAGAGGTGCTGTTGCACGCTTTGGCCCTGCACTTGGAGACGTTTTTGGTGGAGCTACCTTCCCAGCCAAACTTGTGGGAAGAGATGCAGCAACGCGTACAACAACAGCAACAACAGCAGCAGCATTTGGAGCAACTGCAGCTGCAGCTGATCCGGGATCGAGCGAGGCAAGGGACTCTGCACAAGACTAAGAGCGCAGCAGCAGCGGCAGCAGCAGCGGAGGCAGCAGCAGCACGAGACGGAGATGCAGCTACAACCCAGCAGCAGGCGGCAGAGTTTCACATGGCTGTCGCAGCGAGACTCAGAGGAGATGGAGAGCAAACAACAGGCCCATTATCTTTGACTCCCATGTAGGTTTTACGTTGCATTCGTGGCCACAATCGGTGCTGTCTCGCCTGCCACTGTTGCGCGACTTGTGGCACTGGTTGCTGTCAGCAGTCGCCCTGGCGGGAATCGCTGCCACATCCTGCTTCTTCTGTGCTGTTTCTCTTATTGGACTGAGATATGTGAGCTTGAGAACAGTAGCAGCATCAGGCACTCCAGTAACAAGGCACAGAAGAGGTCCTATGTCATGTGCTGAAGTTGCAGCATTCCTAGGTGTCCGAGAAGGCTTGTTTGTCACAGCTCAGCCTCTCAAGCTCCGGTGCCTGATTTTCAGGTAGGCGCTTGCTGTAATTACTTTATCTTTCACGTCTCCGTCATTGTTGCTAGCGTTGAGGGCACTTCTGCTACGGATGGTAAATTACCTCTTGCTGTTCTTACTGTTTTGATTGTTTTGATTTTTGGAAGCACTTTGTGCACCTAATGCCGTTGCTAGTCGTTGGATGTGTCGCTGCCCCTTTTGGCACTGTGGGTTTGGGCTTTCAGAGCTGTTTGTACGGAGGCACAATCTTGGCTTCCTACTGCAACAGCCTCAAGCACTTGAAGACCAGTCCTTCTCAAGTCTGCTTGTACACTTGACTGCCCTTGTTGCGGTCGTGGCTGTTCGCAGAATGTGCAGTTGGCAGTCGTGTGTGCGCTGCAACTGCTGCTATGGCTCTTGCTGCTGCTGCTGCTCTTTGATGCTAACAAAGAATCCGCATTATGATTCTGCTAGCAGTAGCAGATTCTCCTCTGTTAAGCGTTCATTTGTTGCTAGCAACATGTCTCAGCTACCAACAAACTGTCGTAAGCCGCCAGCTCACTGCTGCTTCTAATGCTAGCTGCCTTTTGCATGCAGGCTGACATGGTTGGCTGTGACTGCGTGCAGCGAAGTCTGAAGTTGCCTACAGCTACCGCAGCAGGTGGATGGTTCACTCCTGGCAGCAGCAGAAGCAGTATGCCGCTGACATCCCGTACTGCCGCTGCTGAACTGACGGGACTTCAAGCAGCAGCTGCTACTATTGCTGTAGGAGCAGCAGCGACAATACCATCATACGCAGCAGCTGATGTATCAGTGGTTGCTGACCCTGCGGCACTGCGGCCACATGAAACGGATGGCAGCAGAAATGTGATAAGCAACAATGCAGGGTTCAACCCCGAAGAGCACCAGCAAAACATCTTCAGCTTTTTGCAGCACATCGTCAACCAGCAGCCCCGACACCGCAGAGACTTTTTGCTTGTGGAAGTGAGTCCTTCTGTGCCTGCTGCTTCGTCAGTTCGTTAACAAGAAGGGTTATGATAAGCGCGTCGATAACGCTGCTGCTTGTGCATCGCTCTTGTTCATGCCGCTTGTCCTGAGAGGTATGTGCAGGTGCTGTCCTCACAAGCACACAAGCGCAGCTGTTTGGTTCGTCATATGATTGACAGCAGGCTTTACGTAATCAAAGAATTTTTCTTTTGCATCCCGCAGTCACTGCTGCAGCGCGCCAGTCAGGGAGTCGATGAGCTGCAACAGCAGTTGCAGCAGCGCGACCCTTCCCTGCAACTACAGCAACAAGAGCAGCAGCCACAACACGAGAAGCAGCAGCAGCTGCAACAACGTCCAAAGAAAAAAAAAGGCAA